GATTGTTACACAATATTTTTCTTGGGGCAGTTTTTAACATTTTATAAAGTTCTATTTGCACAATCATTGACAATTGTAACACTATAGTTTTTGTAGTGATTAATTTCACACAAAGGAATAATGGGGCTTGAATGAATGTATATAAAAGCCATAGACTAAACTATAGAATTGTAGATACAAGAGCAAACAAAAAATAGTGTAATACTATATAAACTATAATGGTTTCTCATTCAAAACAATTTTTCCAAATATTTTTGAAGGCCCCAAAAATTGATTTGGCCTAAGGGCCCCTGAGAGTTTAAATCTGACCCTGTACATACACACATGCATGCATATATATATATATATATATATATATATATAATATATATATATATATATATATATATATATATATATATATATATATATATATATATATATATATATATATATATACATACAACATTAAAAACACCATTTGGACCAGTAATCCGACACCATACTGATTTAGGGAGCTGTTAGGGCTTTAGTACATATGTCAACTAAGTTATGTAGAACATGCAAGAGAGTTGCTGCTACATCATCTGAAAAAAGTTTTTTTTGCACATAAAATATATATTTATATATGCTATATGTAGTAGGTATATGCATACATATAAATATATGTATATACATACAGAGCCTATTCTAGGAAAACTTAAATCCCACTAAGCATCTATGGGGAAAACATTGTTGTATATATTTATACATATGTATATATATATATATATATATATATATATATATATATATATATATATATATATATATATATATATATATATATATATATATATATATATATATATATATATATATATATATATATATTAGGGGTGCGTCATTTTTCAACAATTTTTTCAAACTAAATCCCAACCACCTGGATTAGTTGACCAGTTGGATAAAAATGATTTTACGCTAAAAAAAATTTTTTGAAAGCCATTTTTAAGGTCCCTGCTTTTACAATTTGTACCCTAAAACCCCAACTTTTTTAACCAAAAAATATATACTAATTTAGGTCAAGAAAAATAGCTTAAAATGCACTAACTTAGTATAATTTTTAAGTATATTTAAATAGAATGACACTTGCGATCGAATTTAACTCATGCGTGTCACAAACAAAAACAATCTTTCTTTTTCGAACTATTTATTCTAAAAAAACTAGAAAAGATTAAAAAACGAATTCGTGCCATACTTTACTTACAAGTTTTTCACTTACAAGTGTTTTTTTACTTTTTTTACACAAACTTTTTTTACTTTTTACACTTTTTTTTTTACTTTTTAAACTTTTTTTCTACTTTTTTTACACAAATTTTTTACTTACAAGTGTATTGGTTTGAGACTGGAAAAATGGGCGAAACATTTTAATTTTAGGTAATTTTATGGATATATCTATTGACCAATTTTTTCATCACTCAAACTTTTCGTGACAAATTTTATCAAATTCTTGTTTACAAAGATTAATTTGATCCAAAATTCAATTTTAAAATTAATTTCTAACATAGGGAAAATAATTTCTAACATAAGAGGGTTAGTGATATGCGGCAGAGAGTTCGTTTCTTTCACTCCCCCTCCTCCATCTATTTTACTTTTTTTTTTTTTTAAATATTTATGTACCATCTGCCTTAAAGTTTTATTTTTACATATAGTTTGATTAGATTTTCATATAGGTGCTGCAAAATAGGCGTTTTAATGAAACAATTTTGTTTTACTGAATATCATGTAGCTGAGATAGTTAAGGTAAAATAATAAATTTTCTGCTAAAAAATATATATATATATAAGGATATTGTTAAGGTCAACAGTGATAAATTAGTAATAAATAATCAAGAATTTTTTTTTTCAAAAACAGTTTGTAAAACTATAACTCAACAATCTTTTCTTCATGTTTTTGGTGAAAAATCGTTAAATATTCTCTAAACTATGCTTTGTCAGCGCCTTTTTTTTTTTGCCACTCTCCGTAGTTTGTACTTTTTCGAATTCCCTGAATTTATCCCTTCTATGCTGAACGGCCAACAGTAAATCTTGCCTGTCCTCTTCATTGTGAACAGAATTAACAAACTCTGACACAAGCTTAATTGCTCATTCAGAGCAGTCGTTGACAACATATATTCGGCGAACAAATTCAATGAAAGTTTTAAATTAGTCTATAAAGCCCCAAAAAGATGCAGGACAGTTCAGCTAAGGTTTATCATCGTCTTTGCTCAAATTTAAGAGACTGAAAATAAACCACGAGTTCCTACCAACCAACTGTGACAAGCTAGGTGGTTTCTCCCGGGTGAAGTCTAGATCTTTCAGAAGGATTGGATTTTCAAACTTCTCATAGTGAGTAGGAACAGGTTGCGAGAAAAGAACTTTTGCAACTTTTTCTTTCTCATCATCTTCGAGTTCTTTATCTGCGAGACATAATGGAATCAAGGTTTGATCCAAATACCATGTATGTCTCTCCATTGATTTCAATACTTCTTCAATTCCCTCTAGTACATCATTAGCTTCTGGATCATAAGATTCCACCCAACATTTATACTGGACCATCTGCCAGTACACATTTAAATCTTGATAAGGTGCAGAGAAAACTAAAGAGGAACGCACAAACCACACAGTATAAAATATAGAAATAAATTCTGCCATTTTACTGATTTCTTTTTGTAAACAAGCTGTCAATTGGTAGGGCAACTGATTACTTAAAACTTGAATTTTAAGATAATATATATACTTTGCCATAAAATGAGCATGGGAAACTGATCCGAGAGAATAAACATTAAAGCTTACATCTGGACATAAGTAGGTGAGTGTAAGTTCTACCAGTTCTTTATAATCACCTCTTGGAAATACTAAATTGGCAAGTGCATACTTGCAAAATTGAACAGTTTTTTCGATCTGTTTTTCTAGATACGTTCCTTTACTTGCAGCTTTGTCAAACTTTTTGAACTTTGATTTATCCATAGTTGCCATATATCCTTTGTTGCGTTCCAATTAGCTTGGAAAACTTTGAACATCAGATTTTCAGGAGCATAAGTTTTACCAATGTGAACTTTTTCCCAAAAATGTTTACAGTGAAGCTGATTAACATGTCATCGACATGCAAGCTGTAATATAATTGAACCCTGTGTTTGACAAAACCTAATGTTTGTGCCAGAATATTTTCCTGTATTAGTTGAAGTTGTGTCAAAGCACAGACCCTTTATATAAGTTCTTAGCTTATATTCATCCAAAATGTTTATTAAAGTATCATGATGAGATTTTTCAGTACAATTTTCAATTGGTGGAATGCCAAGAAGTCTTAAATCACCATCGATATTTACAAGAACAGCAAAACGATCTCTTTTTTGTTTTGTACCGTTAGTAATATCCTGCAAGATTTTTCCATCGAAGTGTGCAATTATTGGAAATTTACTTGGACTTGCAGCTTTTATTATACCTTCTCGATATTTAGCTGCACTTGTACTTATTGCTTTCTTTTTTGCACGCCTGATAGTAGATTCAGAAAGCGAGAAATCTGTCAAACTGCCCCCAGAAATAAGTACTATGTCAGAGAGCAAGTGCATCATATTTCTAGGTGAAATATTTTTAGAAACACCTGTAATTGCAACTTCTTTTGCAAATTTTTTAGGTAATACTGTTGAAGCACTAGTACCTGATTTAATTTCGTCTGCTGAATAGTCGGAATCCTGACAAGAGGAGACCTCACTTTGTTCTGATGATAAAAAATCAATTTTCTCAGTTTGATTCTCTTGTTGCTCAATAAATGTTAAATACCGCAATCTTCTTTCTTCTATTTTTTTCAGCTTTTGGCAATATGCTAAATCCTTTGAACCAAGTGTTATTTTACGTTTCAACATTTGATCATTTAAAAATTGCTTATCTGAATTGTATGAATCTAGGTTGTTTCCATGTTTCTTCTTCAAAATGGAGCAAATATCAGGTTTTCTAATCCAAAAAACTTTCTTAGCACTTTTTTTAAAGATGTTTCTAGCTAATTCTGCTGCGTTGCCTTTTTTATTTTTATTTTTTTTCAAAGTTGACCATTTTTCAACTAGATCATTTAATAGTTTCCTAGAACATATAATATTTATTTAACTTTTTCCTAATTGCTTTAAAACTTTCTCATATCGGAGAGTGAAAATAGTCAACAAATTAATATAAGCAAAATTAAAATTCAGTAAAAATAAAAAAACTCTAATTATAGATCATTTAGTAAACCTGATGTGTTTGTCATGAAATATGCCGCCGTCATACCCTCCATCGATCCACGGTTTCTTTATTGCAAAAAGAACGCAGTTCTGAGGACATATTGCTAGTTCAGAGCATGCTGACATCATTTTATATTGGGAAGCACAACCAATCAAAGTATTGGTGGGAATATTTTTGTCTAACAGACGCCTGAGTTATTAAGATTAAATTTAGATTTTATATATTTCGTTTTTCAAACTGAAATTTAATTACTTGGTTAATATATTGAATGATAATTTATAATCAGTTTAATGTTTTAATCATACCTGTAATGAAAATGAAGGATAATTTCCTCATTAGTGGCAAACTGCGTTTCACAAAGTTTTTCTAACACTTTTTTTTCTTCAAATAAAAATGTCTTTGAAAGTGATCTTGTAATTTTTGGTAGCATCTTTAATTTTTTTTAAATCTTCATTTTATTTTATTTTTAAAGTAAAAGTTATAAATTACAGTTTATAATAATAAAAATATTCTTAGCTTAAGTAAAAGTATGGCACAAATTTGTTTTTTAATCTTTTCTAATTTTTTTTAGAATAAATAGTTCGAAAAAGAAAGATTGTTTTTGTTTGTGACACACGTGAGTTAAATTCGATCGCAAGTGTCATTCTATATATATATATATATATATATATATATATATATATATATATATATATATATATATATAATATATATATATATATATATATATATATATATATATATATATATATATATTTTGAAAGAAACCTATAGAAAAAAACTTACGACCAGCTTTTGTTTCTTTCACACCCATCATCAGACGCAACATAAATTCAGCTTTTATACGGTCTTCTAAAAAAACACTTGAAAAACCAGGTAATGGAATAATTAGAGAGAACAATTTTACAAATGGGTTATGGTTAACATCAGCAGCAGGAGAAAGCAAAGAAAGTCCTCCAAGATTTGCAAAAATTTCTAACATTGTTGAAAATGGAGCTGTCAAAAGAAGTGTATCATTTTCTTTTGGATTTGCTTTATCACTTGATTTTTCATATTTTACACAATATTCTAACAAAGGAGGCGAATCTAAAATACTAGAATCCTTTTCATGCAACAACTGCAAAATCTGACCAATGGTTAGTGCTTTTGGAAGAGGTTGATTACTTATAAACGGTTGAAAAAAATCAATCCCAAGTTGCTCATCTGAGTTTGGTTTTAATTGTTCTACTTCTACAGTAGTTGATTTTGGCTGGCGCTTAAATATTGCAAGTTTTCCAGATTGCATAACTTGTGCATTAAGCAGGTCTGACAGTTTATTGTTATCAGTCCTATTACTTTGCTTATCATCAGTAACAGAGGAGCTTTTCATTTTAAAAAAGTTTACTTCTATTTCATTCAGTGATGCTGTTATTCTAAAATGAAGTTTATGTGTATTCTGCAATATATAGGTATTCCATTTTGATCTAAAATGAACTGTGACAGTATCTTCAGCAATAACTAAATCGATTATAATCTGTTTCAAATAACCACTCATTGTACGATTATGGTCTTTAGTCCAGAGCAAAACATCAATAAGAATCTTACAGAAGTAATCCATATTTTGCTTATTTAAATATAAAATGCTGTGAAAAAATTTTAAAGTTTGTTGTTGAAGTTTGTACATATTTAGTAGAATGCTACCATTTATATGCGGAGATAATGTATAGAGTAAAAGTTCTTTCCAAAATAGACGACCATTATTAGAATAAAACCAAGCAGATATTCCATTGTTGGCTAAGGAAAATTTGCAGAAACATTTTAAAATTATGCATGCAGATTTTATATTTGCCAATCCCGTTATAGGCTGAGATAAAATACTAACAAAATATTTAGAAATCTTTCCTAAAAGATCATATGTGTTTTCATGCACTATTGGAATATTGCTTTGGTAAGCAAAAATAATTATGTCTAAAGCTTTCACAAATTGAGTTTCATTTATTTTAAAACTATTCAAAAAAGTATCTGCTATCTGCAAGTATTTAAAGAAGAAATCTTGTTTTGAATGTATAATTATTTGGAGCAATTGACCAACATAAGAAATATTTGAATGATGTATACTGTTGTTTAAAATAAATTTTTCAAGTTCACTAAAAAAGAAAAATCAAATTTGTTTATAATTATAACCGTCAATTTATGCATTACTGTTCATATAAACATATAAGGAAAAAAAAACAACACAAAAGTTTATAAAAACCTTATTTTATATATATATATATATATATATATATATATATATATATATATATATATATATATATATATATATAAAACCTTATTATATATATATATATATATATATATATATATATATATATATATATATATATATACATATATATATATATATATATATATATATATATATATATATATATATATATATATATATATATATATATATATATATATATATATATATATATATATATATATAAAATAACCTGATAAGCTTTTCACTAGCTTTTAAACTTTCTTTTTCCAAGTCTTTGGCATGCTGAAAAAGTTTTACAACAAAGCACTGAATAACATCTGAAACTCTTGCATTACTATCATCTTGGACAACATTTAAAAACTCAGCAAACCATTCAAAAAGATAAGAAAATATGCTAAAGTAGTAAAATAGTAGAGCTAAAACAACTAATAATAAATTTTATATTAAAACAAAAGTAAAACTAACTCAAAACCAACAAAAATAAGTTATTAACAAAAATTTAATGATGTAATATATTAACATATATATTACATAATTGAATTTTATTATGTAATATATCAACATAACACATAAATAGGTGTAATAATTGTTATAATTTACCTAACTTGCTGAGCAGCATCTGTTTGTATAACAATATCTGATAAAAGCTGTATAAGAAGTTGCATCTGCCAAGAATTAAACCGATTCAAATAGCTAATCTTTAACATATGTGTTGTGGTGAGAACTACAAACTTATATGCAAAATCAGGTAGTACTTTCAAAAAAACAGACATTAGAAGTGCAGAAATTCGATGTAAGGATAACCTATACAAATATATTGAAGGTGTATTTTAAACAATTTGATTAATTACTTCAAAAAATATATTTATTTACAACTATATCTTTTTAAAAAAATTTAAAACAAATTAAAAATATTCAAACAAATATTTTATTAAGTAATTATTCAAATAGTCAGTGATCACAATGTTCCCCTCTTTAACGTCAGTAAACCACTAAAACACATCTAATTGATACTAATTTGCTTTCTAAAAGCATTCAATCTTGTGAACACACTCTTAAGCACTAACTTTCGATCAATCTATTCATTTATTTATTTTTATTTATTTATCATTTATTTGTCATTAAAAAAAAGAATACAATGCCGTGTTATATAAATAAAATCAACATGACTGGGGCTAAAAGAAGACAATATTTGTTATCACTACACCCCGACGTGCTTTCATCAGCAAGCGTGTATAACCATTAAAATGTAAACATAAAACATTACTTTTTACAAATTACTTTTTACCATTTATAAATTATATATAAATATATACAAGTATGTTAAGATCAGTTACTAATCTATAATCAAAAATCGTAAAAAAAAAAAAAAAAAAAAGCAATCACACTTAAAAACTAAAGATAAGTTAATAGGATAATTTAAAGAAAATTTAAATTGGTTAGACTAGTTTAATAAGATAGTTGTTAAAAAAGAAGATAAAAGAATTTTAAAAAGAATTTAATTCATTAACATCGTTAAGAAGTTTTTGTTTGAGTTTTTGTTTAAATAGAAAAAGTGAAGAACAATTTTTCAGCTGGTTATTTAATAAAGTGTTCCATAATTTAGGACCTCTGACGGCAATAGAAAATTTAGTAACCGAATAGCATATCTGATAATATTAATACGCTAATTTAATATTATTAGTCGAATTACGTCATTTTCTAGGCTTTTCTATTTTAAAGTAGTTTCTAGGCTTTTCTATACGCTTTTTTTTTTTTAATTTTTATTTACTAACAACGCGTATTATGGGTTGCTTACTGCTAGTATATATTAATAGTTAATATAATATATTTTAATAATTAACTATAATTAGAAAATCTTGTAGGGTACACGTGATTAATTTTAATTAATCACGTGTTTTAATTAATCACGTGTTTTAATTAATTGAAAAGTGTATTAAAAATTATAGGAGTTAATTTATTATGTAGTTTGTACATAAATATAAGAATTTGATAAAGGTTCAACTGAAGAACATTGAGTATGTGATGAATTTTAAATAGTTCTTTAGAATGTGATGAATTTTAGTTGTTAGTAGTTAGTTTAGAATGTGTTAGTAGTTAGTAGTTAGTTTAGCAGTTTGTAGTTAGTAGTAGTTGGTAGTTAGTAGTAATTGGTAGTTAGTAGTTAGTAATAGTTAGTAGTTAGTAGTAGTTGGTAGTTAGTAGTAATTGGTAGTTAGTAGTTAGTAGTTAGTAATAGTGGGTAGTTAGTAGTTAGTAGTTAGTAGTAATTGGTAGTTAGTAGTTAGTAGTAGTTAGTTGTTAGCAGTTAGTAGTAGTTGGTAGTTAGTAGTTAGTAGTAATTGGTAGTTAGTAGTTAGTAGTAGTTAGTAGTTAGTAGTAGTTGGTAGTTAGTAGTTAGTAGTAATTGGTAGTTAGTAGTTAGTAGTAGTTAGTAGTAATTGGTAGTTAGTAGTTAGTAATAGTTAGTAGTTAGTAGTAGTTGGTAGTTAGTAGTAATTGGTAGTTAGTAGTTAGTAGTAGTTAGTTGTTAGCAGTTAGTAGTTAGTAGTAGTTGGTAGTTAGTAGTTAGTAGTAATTGGTAGTTAGTAGTTAGTAGTAGTTAGTTGTTAGCAGTTAGTAGTTAGTAGTAGTTGGTAGTTAGTAGTTAGTAGTAATTGGTAGTTAGTAGTTAGTAGTAGTTAGTTGTTAGCAGTTAGTAGTTAGTAGTAGTTGGTAGTTAGTAGTTAGTAGTAATTGGTAGTTAGTAGTTAGTAGTAGTTAGTAGTTAGTAGTAGTTGGTAGTTAGTAGTTAGTAGTAATTGGTAGTTAGTAGTTAGTAGTAGTTAGTAGTAATTGGTAGTTAGTAGTCAGTAGTAGTTGGTAGTTAGTAGTTAGTATTAGTTGGTAGTTAGTAGTTAGTAGTAGTTAGTAGTTAGTTTAGTTGTTAGTAGTTAGTGTAGAATGTGTTAGTTGTAAGTAGTTAGTTTAGAATGTGATGAATTTTAGTTCTTTAGAATGTGATGAATTTTAAATAGTTCTTTAGAATGTGCGAATTGACCTGCATTTGAAATAATCCTGACAGCGTGTTTTTGTCTATTAAGCAATTTTTTAACTTTATTTACATTAGAGCTGCACCATGCTATATATGCATACAAATCACCTTGGTTACCATCCTGATTGCAAAATGGTTTTAAAACCATAAACAAGTTTCAACAATAAATCTGCTAAATTGAAGCAAAAGTGCTTTTTTTTTCTTTCTTGATCCAATCCTTATATTAATCTATGTTGTAGACATAAATGATTGATTCCCAAAGATTCCCAAATTATGCAAGGTAGATCAGCTTATTTCTTGTATTACACACAAGAAATAAGCTGATCTACCTTGCATAATTGGTAGTAGCTTTCTCTTCCACAAAGTTTTTTAGTCTTTAATGATGTTATGGTTACTAAATAAATTTTAATACAGCTAAAATGTAAAAAATTATTTACATCAGCCAAGATCCAAACCAAGACAAAACATTAAAAGGCAAAATTTTTGAAGTTGTAATCTTATACAAATACCTGTCAAACTCAATACAAACTTTAAATTTTACAATAGTCTCAGGACTCCAACTCCTATATTTACAGACAATATTTTTTTTAATTTGTAAAACACACTATTTATTCCACGCTTCTCTCTCTTTTACTCAAATTTGTATAAGTATTGTCAGCCCTAAATGACACATTGCCTTTTACTGAAATATAGTAATTGTTTATTGTCTTTATAAAAAAATGCTGTTATTATATCCAGCATTTTATTAGGCAAGGTTTGTAACTCTAGGAGTTTAACTTTTAAGCAAAAACATTTTCAGAAAAAAATAATCTTAATAAAACATAAATGTTGCAAATGAAAATGTTGAACCTCTTAAAAACTTTATTGTTGAAGAACCAGATTTTTAAATTGCAGCAATAGAAGAGCATACAGTAAATAATATAACAGGAAACTTAAAATCAGTAAATTGGGCAACAATGTCAAAAAGATGAAGACATCTTTTTGATCATTACTAATTTCCAAACATTTGACAAAAATCAAAAATCTACATTCTAATTTATGTGAATTATGTTAATAAGGTTCTAGTTGCCCAGTTACTCACTTTACATGGATGGATATGTATTGGTGGTTTTGGCAGATGTCTTAAAACCCATTTTAACACTTTAGTGCAAAATAAAAATGACACAGAAGATGAAAACAACATAATAAAAAAGTTATGGGAAATTAAAGGAGATGAAGATATGCAAATACCAAAAATAATAACAGACCGAAAATTTTTTAAACTTAGTTACAAGTTCACTTAAGATTATACTATGGCATTAAACTGATTAAGTTTTAAAGGAGGTGAGAATGACTACATTGAAGACGAAAGTCTTAGAAAATAATTCTTGTAGTCTAAAATGCTAATTACTCAGTCTATGTCTTAGTCTATGATGTTAAGTCTAGTATGCGGTAGTGGTGGTAGAGCGTTTGCCTCATAAGCAAGAAGTTCTGAGTTCGATTCCCACTAAGTTCCTGGTAGTACCGCACTCAAATTGTTTCTCCACGCAGTGACCTTGTTTGTCAAGGTTCGTGTTTTGGAGCTATAGAGTTGAGAGAGTGTTGTAACCATAGTTAAAGCAGCCTCCTTGACTGTAGTGGCCTTCATGGCCTTGGGGAGTTGAATTAAAATTATTTGTAACAATTGCAACAAATGTAAAAAAATAAATAAAATGCAAGCCTACTTTTAATGGCACTTTTATCAGCAATTTTCTTAAGAGAACCACTACATATGTTTTCTGAAATCAGTATTAATTTTGCTGGGAAATTTCTTATTACATGCGTATACTAGAGATATAGTGTTTTTATAACCTCATGTTCCTGTATGTCAGTTTGATGAATAATTACTTAAAACCAAAGAAATAGTTTTTTCAATATCTTATGAAAAAAGTTCACCCCCAAATCAAAAAATAAAATTGGGCTTTATAACTAATTCATATACATTGTTTAATAACTACATGTCAAGTCACTAACTATTACAGTTACTAGAGCATAGCATATGCTTCATATTGTTTATATTTATGATTAATATACATCAGTACATCACTGTCTATTACCTAAAATAAATCTAGACTGCAATTTGTCTTTTTTTCTGCAGATTGAATATAGTTCCTGTATCACTTTTGTTGCATGTTGTTGTAAAATTAATCAGCAAAATAATACTTTGCCCAGTTATATAAAATTAATTATAACAAAAACATTCTTTTTACCAGTGTTAACACTGGTTGTGTCAGCCACTATCTTCACAGCACTCCATAAATTATATTCTTTAAGAACTGTCAAAATTCCATCAGAAATAGTTTCTGCTTTTCCATCTTTTAAGCACAGTGCAGCTAATTTCTCTTCAGTTCTTTCATTTTTCAATACTACAATCTGATATTTTTTTTTTATTAAGGCACTTTTCATTAAAATGTAGAGATTACTGTTAAGTTTTGAAGTTTTTATCATCTCTTTTTCCAGAAGCTTTCTTAGATAATGGCATAAACTCCAGTTTGGTGTTGGAATGTTAACACCATTAAGTGTTTGCAAATTTTGGCATCTTTTTTTGTTGATACTGTTGTTGATACTCTTGTTATATTTCTTTTTTAGTGGATAAATTCTCATATTTACTTTCTATAACTTCAAACTTATCCAAATCCTATAAAGATCATATAAAATCATATAAAACTGATGTAGATGGTTTGTTGGGTAATTTTCTTCTCCTGAAAGAATGAATTGTTTCCTTGCCTGCTTCTTTACAGGTAGCATAACTAACTTTTCCTTGACTTTCTACTTGTAGAGTTGTTTATCTTCAGCTGACAACTATACTTGTTAGCTTTGTGATATCAAACAGCTAATCTAATGCGTCATATTTTCCTTGTTTAACACATTGACCATCCTTTATCTTAAGTTTTTAACACACATGAAAGTTTTGTTGTATTACTTGATCAGATACATGAGGAAAATTTAATTTATTCTTTCATAAAATTCTTTGGAAATATTTGCTATTCTTTCGTGTCATATTTTAATTTCAGCTCCAAGAAACTGGTATTATCCAAATACTTTCATTTTAAGTGGTATTCTACATTTTTTTTCAAGAAAAATTCTTGTGAAGGCATGGTGTCTCTTCTTTTATGCAACTGCTAAAATTTCATCAGATTTTTGGCCCATATGTTCTTGTTCTTCTCTACAGTATTAAAACATTTCTTGTGCAACATTTTCTATAATGATATATTAGCTCTAAAGATGAAAATCAAAAGTAAATAAATATATACTGTTTGCCTTCAGTGTTATTTATGTAAATTGTGCAATGCATATATTTTTACATATTTCAGTATAGCTGGTGGGTAAGTCCAGTAACAGTATTTAATAACCACCAAATAATATCTGCTTAATTAATTTGTCAGTCCCAATTAAAAGGTTATTTGTCTCTATATCACTTTCTTAACTTTATCAATTAGTCATTCAACAACAACAACAAAAACTAGCGCAGAAATCACTTATATAATCACGTTAGTGGTTCTAGAACAACCTACACTTTTCTAGAATTTTCTATGCCATTATACTCAAATCTAAAATCTACCTACAAAGTTCAACGGTCTGGTGCATTATATAAAGTCACAATGGCTACAATTTCTAAACAGCCATGACGCAGTGGAAGCGCACTTGCCTTAAAAACAAAGAATTTGTAGTTTGAATCCCACCTCCGGGCAGGTTTTGAAACATCAGTTAGGAAGGAGATGTGAACTTCCCATTAAATGCTCTATTGCGGTGCTCTGTGATAAGACTGTAAAGGCTTCCTGGGATACCTAAAATTAATAATAATAAAAAAATAACATAGCAGTTTTATTAATACTGCTAAGAGGTAGCAATACTATAACTGTATTCTGTGGCAATACCAAATTTTTATTTGGGGGTGATTTTTTTTTTAATTCTAGTGGAGCTGGGTGTTTTTTTTATTGTTTTTAGGTAAAAACTTATTGATTTGATACAGGAAATGCGATATTTAAAAAAAACTTGAAAAGTTATATGCCTGGTGTATACATTTATTTTTGTCATTTGTCACCTTACTAAATGTGCATAGGTTTGTATTCATATATGTATAATATTACTACATGCAGGGTAGAGGGTAGAGGAGGGACACAAAATAAAAGATACTTTATTTTGTGTCCCCCCTCTCTCACAAGCAGTGCATCTCACAAGCAGTACATCTCACAACAATATTGGAAATTAAATATAATATTGGAAATTTTGACAGGCCATGGAACAAATTTTATTTGATTATTCTCAAAATTTATTAAATTCAACTGCAATTCTTACACTTTGATTGTTTAAGTTATGTTTTAAAATAATAAGTTATGTTTTAAAATATTATATAAATATTATATAAATGTTTTAAAATATGTTATGTTTAAAAAATCTGCAACTGCAGATTTTTTAAACATAACATATTTTATTTATATATTTATATATTAAATATGTTTTTGACCTAACACTTTTTTAAGGCCAGTTAAACCTTAAAAAACTTAACTTAAAACCATTGCTAAAAAACCTCCTAACATGTGATGGGATCAGGTTCTTCTTCTTTAGTAATTCTTTTTTTTTACAACGTTTGCAAAGTTTCTTTTTAGTAAGGATATGCAAGTTTTTTTAATCATAGCTTGTGACTCTATAAGGAATATCTAAAAACAATGAGGCAAAAACTTTATTAACTAACAAATTAACTACAGCTTCAAAAGCTTGTCTGTATTTAATTTAATACTTGTATAGTATGAAACTTTACTTTGTTGTGTTTTTGAAAGTTTAAACTTAAAAACTGCATATTTTATTAACAATTAAAATTATATAATAGTATATAATATATAATAGTATATAATATAGAATTATATATTATATAATAATATAATATAGAATTATATAGAATACAATATAGAATTATATTTAACAACTTAGAAATTTGACAGCTATGTGCTGTTGGTTTTCCTTGTGTTGCATGTGTCAGATCATAAAAAGCTTTCTGCCATGTAAGATAATCACATTTTCAATGTTATAACGTAAAGATTTTTTCCTTTTTGTTGTTTTTCTTCATTGTATAAAATTTGAATAAAATCTAGCTAGCCTATGTCTTTGATATCACTAAGCTAATAGAACAAATCTGAGGTCATAAGGCCAATAGAACAAGTCTAAATAAAATAAACTGTTTAGTATGAATGAAACAAAACCAATTTTCAAATTAATTAGGAATTTTTATTTCTTATTTTAAATTAGAAAAAAAGTTCTTCAGGCAGATATCTTTACCTTTTAAGATTCCAACTTTAATAGTTTTTCTTGTCTAAACTATAGATATCTTTAATTTTTAAGAATTAGATAATTAGTATTGAATCTTGATTATTCACTGGTACTGATACAGTACCAGTGAATACCTTACAGTGTCGATATTGAGATCATCAATACCTTACAGTGTCGAAATTGAGATCATACAATAGAGGTATCAAAGGTACCAGTAATAACATTGGTATTGTTTTGACAAATATAGTCTTATTTGGTGTCAAAATTCTTCACAACAATTTGTATTTTATTTTTAAAAGAAATTAGGTATTTAAAATAGTAAATTTATATAATGAAAATTATATAATTGACTCAGTATAAACTGAAGTTCTCAAGAATCATGGGGTACCCTATAAAATAATATTTATCATTTAATGTTGACTATATCTCAATTTTAATTTATCAAGTGCTATTGCTTCTAAAATTTAGTTTTTCTCTGGCAAGTTTTAAAACATCAGTTAGGAATATTAATTGTTATATTTAAACATTGTTATATTAATTAAATGTTGCGTAATTCTCTTCTGATATTGGCATTCTGTGCTCAACAAACATTAAAAAAAAAACATTAACTTATTTGAATTTTGTTCATAATAAATTTACAACTTCACATTTTAAATTTTTTTCTTATTTATTTCAAACAAGACAATCCAACCACTCAATACAATACAATTCAACCATTTGATACAATACAACTGTGCAGTATCAAATTAATACTGATAGTATCAACATTAGTATATAAACCATACCATATGATACAAGACATTCCCTTTCCTTTATTTTTGAATCAATTTATTAATTTGATTGAAAATATTTTTACTAATAAGTGTTTTTTTTTTTTAACTTTTTATAAGCTATAAAATTGTCAACATTTACTAATATCTTGCTCAGTCAAATATAGAGTAGTTGAGGTATCGAGAGTCAACTGTAATATCTTGATTGGTCAGTTTTGAAATAAAAATTGTTGTCTAAATAACAAAACAGGATGTATTTCAGGATGGACTTCATTGAAACTTTCAGTAATAAAAGCCAAGCAAATATACAGAAGTGGCTGACTTTTGATTTAAATCAACAAATAAAAAAAACTTGGCTAAAAAAGTCAAAAAGAGTAATCCTATTTTGAGAAATATTAAGCACTCAGGGCTAGAGTACTGAAACAACTTCAATGAAAAAACTATTGAAATCTAGTTTCAATATTATTGTTATCTAGTTTCATTATTTTTAGTATACTTAGTAGTAGTTTACTAATTAAAGATAATCAACAATGACAAAACAACAACAACAAAAAACATATATAAAATTAACAAACCTTGTTAAAAATGGTATTAAACAAACTAATGAATCGATAAGACTATCGCTTAAATATGACTTAATCAACTCAGTTGATGTATCAGTCAACATTATTGACAACAAATCAAGCCATGCTTCACTAAAAAATAAAACTATAAATATAAAGGTTGAAGAGAATGAATCAACCCATACTTTCCTAAAAATTAAATTTATAAACAAAAATGTTAAAGAGAAGAAATCAATAAATAAAACCATGCTTCACTAAAAATTAAAACTAAATAAAACTATTAAAAAGAATTACATAATAATATTAAAACAAAAAAAAAGTATAAAAATATGATTTAATATTTAAAATAAACTCCAGGGTCTTAGTCAGAAAAAAATTTTACACAGCGAATATAATTTAGATCTTCATTAATATGCCAGATCTCCATTAAATTGTTCTAAATAACAAAACAATTTTCAAACTTGCTAAGCAACCTATTGCGAACTTAAATAGTAATAATAAACTTAAATTTATAGTATTAATAAACTTAAATTTATCAAAGACTATTGTTATGCAAATGTATAACAATTAAGATAAATTAATATTAGAATAACTAGAAGAACAAAAAATTGTTGTTGACTTTTTTTTCCCAATTTCTATACATAAATATAACATGTTTTGTTATGAGATTTTACTGTGCAAAACATTACACCATATAATAAACTTAACTCGGCATTTGTATATGTAATTATCATAATAAAAACTATTTTTAAATTACTCTTATATTTCTCTTTGAAATGTGAATTTTAGAAGATCTAATTTATTTAAGCAGTTCAGAAATTCAATTTAATTCTGATAATTATATCAACTTTTTAACTTGATTATGCTAAGATATTTAATTATGTTGCATGAACTACTATTTATCAGCAGTTCAGACATTAGTGTCCATCACTCAACATATCAGCAGTTCAGACATTAGTGTCCATTACTCAAAATACCAACAGTTCAGACATTAGTGTCCATCTAAATAAAATTTAAAATACCTGCATAAAATGTGTTGATTATTTACAATCGGTATAAAAAGTTTAAAAAACATGTGGAACTTTACAATATGTTGAATAATGGATTTACCATGACCCATATAATATGGGTCATGGTAAGTCTACTAAACACTGACATGGTAAGTCTACTAAATACTGACAACTTCTATACTTTTTTTTTTTTAATTTAGTCATTCATTTTAATAATTTTTTTTTAATTTAGTCGTTCATTTTTATAATTTTTAGAAAGTAATAGAAAATAAAAAATTTTTAAATCATTGTTTTGAATGTTCAATATATTATAACTTTTTATTGTAAAATTGAAAACTTCTACAAAATAAATGGGAAAAGGCTTATTTTTTTTTTTTTTACTGAATAAATTTTTTTCTTTATTAAGTTTCTATTAAATCTTTGTTAACTTTTTTTCCAAACCATCCACAGCTCATTATGCCCCTCACCCTGTTAATTTTATTTCAGACCATCCACAGCTCATTATGACCTTCCTCTCGTTAATTAATTTCGAAGAAAATAAAAGCTTGAATGTAAAATCTTTTTTCCTATAAGAAAGTTGTCTTTTTAATTTATGTTAAATGCGCAGACTTAACTAATTACCATTAATAACATAAATATAACATTTGCGCAAGAATTTCTTTTTTTAATGTTTTTAGAAATTTTATTCCCTTTTTAACTTTTATTTATTATATTTAATTCTGTCCCTTTTGTTTGTTATAGCATACAATAACTTTATAAATGTTATATATATATAATATTAACAGAACTTTAAAAATGTTTTATTTTGTATTTTAGAAAGTTGGAAAAGATTAAAGCTGCCATGGGTTCTTAAAGTTAAATATTAAGTTTTTTTATATTAAATTTAAATAAAAATTTTCAAGAAAATTTTTAAAAAAAGTTAAGGTTATATGACAATATCTATACTTTTGTACAAAAGATGCTTTCTTTTTATTAGTATTTTTCTAAATTATATTTTTCATATTTCTATATATATATTTATACTCTATATTATAATATTTTTCTATATATCATATTACTAATCTATATTTTCAATTTTCCATGATTCTTTGTTTTAAGTGTCATTGTTGATGTGATTGTAAAGATTTTGATATTATTACTTCTATTTATTTGCTTAATTCTTTTGCTTAAGTTGTCTCTAATTCAAATAGGTATCCTATGAAGTTTAGTTTAATTCCTATGAAGTTTAGTTTAATTCCTGAGGTTTAGTTTAATTCCTATTAAGTTTAGTTTAATTCAAAAATACAAGTGTGTTACTTGATTCTCTTAAGATAATAATAAATTTTTTAACAATATTTTAACTTGAATAAGTTTAAAGTGTTTATAAAATGGTTAAGTAAAATTTTTAAATATTTTCAGTTGGAAGGATTATTGATTTTGTATTAGTTTTAATTTTATTTTGTTTGCAAATTTGAAAAGTTCTATTTTTTTAATCAATTCTTTTTTTTACTTTTTTTGTTTTCATTCCTTTAGTTTATCATCGTCCCAAGATGATAGGACCATTTTTCATATTTTATTTGAAAGCTTTTATATATTTTTTAACAATATTTTAACTTGAATAAGTTTAAAGTTATTATTTTAAAATTTTTTAATTAAAAAAATTCAATATTGACTTGTATTACGGAATCTTGACAGCTAGTGTTAAATATTTTATTTGTTAAATATAAGTTTTGCTTTTTTCGTTTTAAAATCCTGATACTAATTTCTACAAATTTTTTATTAGCAAATTTTCTGCTGTATTAACAGTCCTTTATATCTAGATAGTATCCACCCAAACCCACAGCTGATGTATGTACTGAAGTCCCCACTAAAATACTAAATGTCATACTAAAATAGCACTCCCTAGCTGGCTATTTTAGTATGACACCATCAATGACATTTTATGCAGGGCTAAATATATAAAGATATTACCAACTTGATTAGAGCAAAATAGCCCCACACCATTACTGAACCTCCATCATGTTTGACAGTAGACTGTATACACTCTGGATTAAATTTTTTTGGTAGCTGTTCATTGCACATAAATATATCGCTTTGTTCCAAAACAAGAAACTTGGATTCGTTTGTCCACAATACATATCTGTCTATATCTGTCTATATCTGTCCAATTTGAATGTGCTAGACCCCATTGAAGCCTCTTTTTCCGATTTATTGCTTTGAGAAGAGATTTTCGAACAGCTACTCTACCGTTTGAGTCAACATTTTTCAAGCAACGTCTTACAGTTCTTTCTGAAATAGTTTTATGATGAGCAGCATTAAAGTTAGATGTTATTTCTTGGGCTGTTAATCATCTATTTTGTTTACATGAGTTTTGAGCCCGCAAGATGATAACACTAAAAAAAAGTGTGGCATGCAATTCATAGCTGTGGTATGCCGTTCTTTTGTTATATCACTAAAAAAACATTGACCGCCAATCTTTACATCAAAGAATGCCTCTTAAAAATACTTTTACCATTTATGAAAAAACGCAAATACCAATGTCTCTTTTTGTCAGATCTTGTTGCTTATTATACGTAGAATATATATGTTGAAGTGTCAGTTTTATATACATACATACATACATACATACATACATACATACATACATACATACATACATATATACATACATACTAACATGCATACATGCATACATACATACATAATGTACGGTATTAACTTTTCTTTGTCCTCTGCAAATAAAAGAGTATAATTGACTTGAGAGAGTATAATTGACTTGTCTTCAGCCTTTGATGTTTTGCAGGGATGTCCAGTTCTTTTCCTATCTTTATTTGTACCAATACATTTAAACTGAAACTTTCAACAGATTAGGCATTAAACATTTTTTATTCTTTAATTATGTACCTCTTGCTGTTATATAAAAATATAATTCTTTAAACTTGCCAAGGCACACCTTTTGCACTTGATACCTCTTCAGACTGACTAACTAACTAAACTGTATCGCCAAGATAAAAAAAATAAAAACTTACCAGCAGACTCCACCATTTTTTCATCATTGTTTACTTTAGTCTTTTATTTGACTTATTATTTTAGTTCATAAATTTAAATTATTAACACATTCACACAAATGTACACAACAATTGCATATAATAAGAATAGAATAACATCTTACAAGTTAAATTTTTGTCCTTTGTCCATAATAGTAAAAATTGACCTTCCAAACAATTCCAATAGATTAAGTTTTAAGTTATCACAACCTGATGGTCTATTTAAGTGCAATCGCAACTCCTAAAGCAAACAACAAAATGAATGTATATAATGCAATTATTAAAAGAAAAATAATTCATTTTAAAGAAAAAATATTTATTTTATCCATTTAAATATTATCAATATTTCAGTAAATTTACATCAATATTTTAATATTTATTATATCAACTTTTCAACAATTTTAAATTTATTTAAAAAGCAAATTTTTTTTTTGTTATAACCAATAACAACTGTTGTTGTCAAATACAACTTTAATAACTATAAAGCAAAACCAACTTTCAATGTAAAACTTTTTTTTTTATGCGTGTGTTTTTTATGTGTGTGTGTTTCAACACACACATATACAAGTAAAAAAAAAAATCATTAAATCTTATATACAAGTAAAAAAAAAAAATTAAACATTATATTTCTTATATCTCTAAGCATAACTATATTGCTAAACATAGCGCTTTTTAGTTGTTTTTGAGAGGAGGAGAGTGAAGGTTGTGAAAGTCTTATTCGTTGTTATTGTTATACTGTTGTGAATGTATTGTGAATTTTATTTAGTTTTTTCATAACAGTATATGTATTATGCTATTGATAATAATAGTATTTATGATAATAGTTAAACTATCACCTGATTATTACGATAAAATTTATACTATTAATATAATTGTTATGGTAATATTTAAAGATTTAATTATTATAATGTTATTTTGACATTTTGAAAAAATGTACAATGTACAAAAATTTGGATATTAAAGCATGTCTGAATAAAGCTAAATTCCAAAAAACTCACAGCTCACATTTTTTCATATATAGCTAATTATATATGAAATATATAATTAGTTATAATAGCTAATTATATATTATACTGTAATTAGTAAATATAAAATATATACATAAAATGTATACATGTTTAATAACATTTATTTATATACTAATAACAAAAATAACAATTATTTTTTAACCACATGCATTGAAAATTGTGTCACAGAAGTAACAAGATCTGGTAAAGTAAAGATAATACCTACTGGTGTTGGTAAAGTAAAGATAATAACTACTGGTGTTGATCTATATAATATTGATGAAGTTGATGAAAATGATTGTTGATCAAGACAATTATTCATTATTAATACCTAATGTTTTCAAGAAAATGTGCAGTACGCTAACAAAATTTGGACTGACAATGTCTTTTGATGCTTTCTTTATGAGTTGAATTTGTTTTAAACATTATCATACTTTCTAAGACCTGAAAATTTTGAAAATCTTATATGTAAAAATAAAATGTATAGGTTTTATAATGCATATTTTTAAAATATTGTAAAAAAATTGTTGTTTCATTTTTTTTGTTACTTTTACTCAATTGATCTAAGGAATATTAAAAAAAAAAGGAAAAAAAAACTTCTTTTCACTGAAAAGAAGTTAACAGTTTATAATTCAATTTTCTAAATGTAAAGTATTGGTATGAAACATTTGAAAACTATTTTGAATTACAGTATTATAACAACCACAAAACTAAAGTTGTGATAATATCAAAACAACAAATTTTTAAAACACTATTAAAAAATATAAATTACTTTGCAAATAATGCCCTCTGTAAAATGTATTTGAATTAAAAGCAATCCACTTGTTTCCAAAATAGTTGATGCAGGATTAAAACTATCAGAAACTCCTTTGTATTCAACCATAACCAGAGAAGGTCCTCCTAAAAAAAAGAAATTAAACAAAAGTTTATTAAAACCTTGGTACATCTTTAAACAAAATTTTTTACACAGAAATTGTGAACCTTGCAAACATGAAGGATGCATATGTATTTTGATTTCTTTTAACAATATATGAACTGGAAATGTAATATGAAGCTGAAACCAGGTGTCATCAGATTCCTGGAATTGATGACCATATGCTGCAAATCTTGATCTTCTGAGAGGAGATTTATCAACTAATAAAACAGCTGCTCCAGAAGGTATTATTTTTGCTGCAAAATTAAAATAAGAAAAACGTAAATCTTATTGACAGAGTAGAAAGTTTTTTTTTATTAGTTTAAAATATTTACAGCCTTAAATAATAATAATAAAAAAGTTTAAATAATATTTCAGCCATTTATAATATATAAAATGCAGGCATGATGATAATTATGTAATGCAGTTAAATAATCACTTTGGAGTAAAAACAATAAAAGAAGTTGTAAACTAGTAGAATTAAAAGAACATTAAAAGAAAGACTTGGGATCATAGAATTGAAAGAACAATAAAAGAAAGAGCTGGGAACTAATGGAATTAAAAGAAAGGATTGAGATTGTAGACAACAAGATTTTACATTTTTCAAAAGCAGAAAAATTGAGTATGATATATAAAGCTCAAGTAATTTGAATTCAACAAAAGAACTTAGTTCCAAACTTGCTGGACTTTTTTGTTTGTTTGACTCGTTTAAAAATTTCAAAACACTTATTAAAGGAATTTTGATTACATTAAAATTTAAAAAATGAAGACAATAGTCAAAAAAACTTAAAAAAAAACCTCACAACATTAAGAAGCGAGAGCAGATCCAACTATGTTTGTTATGCATTTTTGGATCTTTTCTGAAAATAAAAAATAGCCTTTATCAGATGCAGTAAACAGAATTACTTTTAGCAATTGAAGCTAGAGTAACTTTGATGTCTACAATGGATTAATCTGTGTTTTTGTTGGATTTCAGTATAAATGGGATCATTATATTCAAGAAATAAGAAAAGCTTAAAAATAGTTCTTAGAAGAGATAAATAAGATCAATGTTTAAGAGATGGAAAGTTAAACTTAAGAGATGGAAAGTTAAACTTAAGAGATGGAAAGTTAAACTTAAGAGATGAAATGTTAAACTTAAGAGATGAAATGTTAAACTTAAGAGATGGAATGTTGAACTTAAGAGATAGAATGTTAAACTTAAGAGATGGAAAGTTAAACTTAAGAGATGGAATGTTAAACTTAAGAGATGGAATGTTGAACTTAAGAGATAGAATGTTAAACTTAAGAGATGGAATGTTAAACTTAAGAGATGGAATGTTAGACTTGAGAGATGGAATGTTAGACTTTCGATTGTTAGTGACGCTATTAAAATTTCTTTTTAAAGTTTCTAGAAACTTTCAAAAGATACTGAGATAAAATAATTAAATAATCGAAGTAGAATGATGTTCAAATGTTAAATCATTGAGACAATTTAAATACTTTTTGTGTCAATTTCATACAATAATAAAAATATGTTTGCTCTTAAAAATGTTGTTCTGATGAAAAAGATAAAAAACAAAAAACCAAAAAAAATCAAGGAGCAAAGATAAATGATTTAGGTTGTCAAAAAACAAGTTAAAAAATTAATTGTCTATGTGATCAACACTTTGATCACATAGACAATTAATTTTTTAACTTGTTTTTTGACAACCTAATTAATGACAATTTTTAATTTTTTGACAATTTAATTAATTAATGTCAATGTAGACATATCTACTGTGTGAACAAAATTAAATGTCTATGTGATCAAAGTGTATATATGAGATCAAGTGTCATCATTCCATGTTGGAATTCCTTTAGAGCCAAACCATTCATCAAGTCATTCCAGATAATGAGCATTAAAGTTACCAATGAGAACTTGATCATATTTATCAGAAATAAGATTAAAGAATCTTGGGAAAAAAAAGAGCACTAAAGAACAGAGAGTTGATTGAGATAAATGAATGAATATTCATTACATTAAAGAATAGTGAGAAAATTCAAATTTCACAACAAAGAGGTAAACTGATACATAAGTAAATGCCCAGGCTAAGCGTGTGACTATCAGAATCATTGCAAATCAAAAGATAATATTCATAAACACTGAGATCCAAAGATGAAACAACTGGATAAAAATTCATTAAATTAAAAATTAGCAAAGAGCAACTTGATCTAGTGAAGATTATACAAATAAAATTCTATGAAAACCATAAATATTATGAAACTATGGTAACCATAAATATTATGATACTATGAAAACCATAAATATTATGAAACTATGAAAACCATAATTATTATGAAACTATGGAAACCATAAATATTATGAAATTATGAAAACCATAAATATTTTTTTGGTTTTGTAGTCATGATTAAAATTATTAAAGATATCTTGACTTAAACATAGGAAGTAATTTACACCCCAAGCAACAAGATATGCATTTGTATAAAAGCCTTTTACAAGACAGTAACTTGATACCATTTATACCTGCTCAAGAAAAGCTTTTTTATTGTGACATTATCTTTAATATTCCAGATATGAATGTTTATATATAGCTGCATGTATACAGTATTAGTTGTATACAGTATTAGTTTCATGTATGCAGCATTAGTTTAGATGTATACAGTTCGTAATTTTCAATTCTAAAAATAATAGTTCAAAATATATTCAATCTTTGGTGGAAACGCATGTTGCTTATTTAAATGCTATTGATACCATTATAAATCTTTTTTATAAACCTTGGTTTTGTACCATTAATCTTTGTTAAATCCTTGTTAAATCTTGGTAGGGAGCAAGTTTTTTTTAACCTTGGTTTACAAATGAGTATAACCTTGTTCTAAAGTAAAAAAAAAAAAAAAAAAAAAAAAAAAAATCCTAAAGAGCCTAAACTCTTACATTTATATTTATATAGCTATTGATATACAATTAATTATTTTCTGTGAGACTAGAAACTAATTTTAATGGTTAAAATAATTGACACTTTTTTCAAACATTAAAAATATTGAAATCGAATGTTAAAAATTCAATTGTCAAACTTTTAAATATACCGGGTTACTATAAATGTCTAATAATTGAAAATCCATTTTATGTGAAATAGGTTATGTTCCATAAAAACTATATTTTCTGTTGTCATATTTGCATACAAAAAATAAATAAATCATTATAAAAACATTTAAGCACTCATTTAAATCCAAAATAACTAAAACTTACCATAAGGAGCAAAGTTTTCCAATTTATCAGTCATTGTTCCTTCATGGTCAAGATTTTTTTTAGTTAGTTGACTGATTTCATTTATGTACAGTTCATGCATTACAGGTGATTGCTGCAAAGCATCCACCCAACTGATTTCTTTTTTGCAATGGAAAACAATTGCATCGCATATAAGTTTAAAACCACCTTATGAAAAAGACAGTTAAACTTGTACAAAATATAAATTTATATTATAATAAATACTTAACAGAATACTATGAATACTATGCAGAATACTTAACATGATGCAGAATGAGAAAATGAGGTTTCAATCTTTCTTAATCTAAACATTTTGTTTATTAGCGTTATTTAATTTATTCTGTAGTTTATTTAACTTTTGAAAAAAACAGCTATCTATTTAGATCAATATCAAGATAACAAACACCATGATAACAAACACCAAGATAACAAACACCATGATAAAAAACACCAAGATAGTAAAAACCATGATAACAAAAGCAAACATCAAAACAACAAACATCAATAAAACAAACATTGAGATAACAAACACCATGATAACAAACAGTAAGATATCAAACACCATAAACTATTATTTAATACAGTTTGCCTAAAAAATTTATAAAAAAAGTTAATATATAAAAAATGATTTCAAATAGATAAATTGAATTTTAATAGAATTTTTTACCACCCCATAATGGTCCAGAATTCACTTTATATGAACAAAATTAATAGCTAATTAAATAATAGATCTATATTTACATAATTTGGCATGAGTATTAATATGAGGTCTGCGCTTCTTACAAAAATGATATTTTTTATGAAAATGATATTTGGTTGCTATGGATATCTAATTTTGCCTAACAACCTATTTTCGGTAGTAGTAGAATTATTATGTGTGATGTATGCACTATGTCTAGTATGTGCATTAATATTAGTTTTGCACTTCTTATTAAGGTGAAAATTAAATATTTGGTTGTTATGGATACCAAATTATGCATAGCAACAACCTATTTTTGGTAGTTGCAGATGTTTTAGGTGTGCTATATACACTATAATTAGTTTGTGCATTAATATGAGGTTTGAGCTTCTTATAAAGGAACATTTTTATTTGGTTGCTATGGATAACTATTTTTTTATAGATACCTAATTTTGCATAGCAACAACCTATTTTAATATGTGCAGATTTTTTATGAGTGCTATAATAACTAAGTTTGGCATGAGTACCAATACGAAGTCGCACTTTATATATAACTGATAACTATTTTTAATTAGTTGCTATGGATAACTTAATTGTTTAACAACCAGATACTTTCCTTAGTAACACAGAGGTAAATGAATTTTTGAATAAAGTTCTATCGGATTTTCAACCATTCTATTTTAAATAAAAATTTAAATTTAATTTTAGGTAAAGATTTATGTAATTAATAGTAAAATTAAAAAATAGTGTTTGAAAACATTGACAATTTGAAATACATCAACAATTATATAAAACATACATGCCTAAAATAACAGATATATGTTAGATCAACTGACACATTTAAATAATAAGATTAAAATTTTATGATATGTCTATTCTAATATTAGTTTATTACAGTTTCAAATAACATTAGTATCCATAACAACCAAATAAAAATATGAATTTTATGAGAAAATCTCATTTTAATACACCCACTTAATATAGTGTACATAGCACAAATAAAAAACTGTTAAAATAACATTAATGTAAAAATATGTTGTTGTTATGCAAATTTAGGTACAATAGAAACCAGATTGCAATCAATGTGTAGCTTGAATACAACTGTCTGTGTCCATAAAACTGGCATGCTGGTCTTCTGGGAAATATGGTGTTTCTGGGAAAGTTTTTGAGATTATCAAATCATTTCTTTCTAACCGGTTTATTAAAGTCATCCTTGAAGGCCAACACTCTTCTTTATTTCCAGTAACTTCTGGGGTTCCCCAAGGTTCCATCCTGGGCCCTGTTTTGTTTCTTATCTACATAAATGATCTTCCTGACAACCTTTCATCTAAAGTAGCTCTTTTTGCTGATGACTCAACTTTATACTCCTGTCTTGACAAAAAGTCTTCTCTTTTCGATCGCCTAGAACAAGCAGCTGATCTTGAATCCAATCTCACTTCAGTAATAGATTGGGGTTCACAGTGGCTTGTGAATTTCAACTCTAAAAAAACCCAGTTGCTTACTGCAAACAACTACCGTAATATGGTCAACATTCCTATATTAATGAATGGCAATCCTCTTACTGAGTCCTCCTCTTTACGTCTTCTTGGATTATCACTTACTACTGACCTTTCATGGAAACCATATATACAATTGATTGCTAAATTAGCTTCTGCTAAGATTGCTTCTCTTTATCGTGCTCGCCATTTCCTTACTTCTGATTCCATTCTCTACCTCTACAAATCTCTTATTCGTCCCTGTATGGAATACTGTTGTCATATTTGGGCTGGTTCTTCTAACGATTCACTTTCTCTTCTTGGCAAGGTCCAAAAACACATTGTAAATGTTGTTGGACCTGGACTATCTGCTAAGCTTGAGTCTCTTTTCCATCATCGTAAAGTTGCATCTCTTTCTCTTTTCTACAAATACTATCATAGTCACTGCTCAAAGGAGTTATCACCTCTAGTTCCATCAACTAAAATTCATTCTCGTTTTACTCGCCATTCAGCTAAGTCTCATTCGTATCTGTCCCTGCATGCTCTAAAAACTTTTATTCATCTAGTTTTTTTCCCTGCACTTCAATCCTTTGGAACTCTCTCCCATCTTCATGTTTTCCTGACTCATACAACCTTCAACTTTTCAAGTCTTCTGTCAACCATTTCCTTGCTCTATAACTCTGTTCTTTTTTTTCCTAGTAACTCCCAACTTAATAGTGGTTGCTTGCAGCCTTGTTGGGAGTGAATGCAAATTAAAAAAAAAAGAAAAAAAAAAGTGTTATGGCTTTTTTACAAGTTAAAGAACAGATTATAACCATTCATTTGTTGCCCTAACCTGCCCTAAAATAAGATTTAATTTAGCACATTTAAGTAATAAAATTAAACTTTTATATTATTCTAATATTGGCATAAAATGGCATCCATAACTGTGGCTAAGTATTATCTTTTAAATGTTAAATTAAAATAGTAATCAATACTGTTGTTATGCAAAAAAAAAAAAAAAAAAAAAAATTGTGTAACAATGTAAACTAAATTGTAAACTTCTCAACAAATTATTATTAAGTCATTCTGGAAAGATAATTAGGAATTATTTAACAACAAATATAATAAAACTGCAAAAAAAAAAAAAAAAAAAAAATTAGATGTATATATAGAACATTGTATATGATATTTAGAGATTAGAGTATATCAAAATTTTGACTTTTGTCCATAGCTGGCCCATTGCGCACAATGTTATTACATTACTACCCATAAATTTTACCACCCCTGTTATTATATTACATCCATCATATATAATATGTTTATGTATAACATATAGCTTTTTTCTATGCAATTCATTTGTCTCATTCTGCACACTTTATACATATACTGTATTATATATAGGTATAATATACAGTATATATATATACTATACAATATATACTTTATTTTACAAAATATTTTTGTAAAACTAAATTTTTTGGTTTTTATTTAAACAAAAAAAAAAAAGGTATATTTATAAAACTTCTACAGAAAAAAAAACACAATAAAATAAACAAAAAAAAAAGAAGGTTATTTTAACAAACCAGCCGCCACAAACTTTGGGAAAAATTCTGAGTTTTGCAAAAGCAACAATTTAATAAGTACTGACAAATCTCCTTTCCATTCAAAATGCTCAACTCGCTGTTGAAGTATAAGAACTAATGCATTAATAAAAGCATCCGAAAAACTTTGAGTCTTTGACAGATCTGTTAATGTAACAATTATACCAAATACGATAGGATGCACAGCATTTGGCTCAGGTAATGAATCTGAGATTTCAGTTAACAATGTATTTTGTGCTAATCCATTTTTCATCCTCAATTTTGGGCAATTGCATAATGCATCCAGAAGGTTGATACAAACTTTTTCCATTGATCTATTAATATTGTTAATTAATCAAAATTTCTGTGTGTATGTATGTGTATGTAAACACACACATATATAATTATAAATAGACCAAAAAAAATTATAATAACTTAAGATTATTATTATTTCTTAAGATTCTCACGACCAATAAATACAAAAACAGTCAGAGAAATTTTTTTGTATAAATGCAATATAAATAACAACTATGTATGTATGTATGTATGTATGTATGTATGCATGTATGTATGTATGTATGTATGTATGTATGTATGTATGTATGTATGTATGTATGTATGTATGTATGTATGTATGTATGTATGTATATATATATATATATATGCATATATATTAGTGCGATTTAGAATATTAGTGATGGTTCTCCTCAAAGCTGTCCTTGTTTCGTATGACAAAAGTAATTTGGGGACCAAATTTTATGCAAATCGGATGATAATTAAGGGTTGCTATGTTTTGTGACTTTATTGATCTCATAGTCAAAAAATTTTTTGACCAATGTTATTAACTGTATCAAATTATATTTATAGTTTAGAAATTTTAAGTATTTAACAATGTGAATGATGTTTTTTTTTTCTTTATTAGTGTTTTTATTACTTTGGAGTAGTCAGCCTCATCATTGTTAGAACAGTTTTGAATGCACTAGGAAACTCTTTCTGGTGCTCATCCACCAACCAAAGAAGGAACTGTTTTTGGTCTTCATTTTTTGTAATTGTAGAATTATAGACTGTGATTAGAACTATGCATCTTCCGGCACAGTCATTAACAACCTTCATTTAAAGAAATCGATTCACCGGTTCCACAACTAATTATTGGAACACCTAACAGTTTTTCGAATTTGCAGCCAGCAACAATGTTTGCAATTCAATCCACCTTTCGCTTTCCACCTGCAATGTCATTTACAATGTGTGCTGTATGATAATGCCAGCTCTGCTACTGATTGTACAAGAGCCTGAACCACTTTTACAACAATAAAGAACACTCAAGGGTCAGAAATATTTACCTTATCCAGAGATAATGCCACACTTTTGGTGAGAATTTTCTTCTTTTTTTCAAACTGCATGTATTGGAAATGGAAAGAGTTGGGGTGTAATACTCATCCAAATCAGATTTGGATGAATCAGTTTGACTGGCACTCTTATGTTCTATCACAAGGGTGAAATTGATTCAATGTGCTTTTGCAATTCAGATTGACTACGTAGACACCTAACTTCAGCTTGGGATTCATTAATCACAATTCATTAGTCTAATAATATTAATAATAATAATAATAATAATAATATAATGATTGCTATCAGGCAACATGACTAAAATTTAATTAAAATTTGAGGAAATATTTTAAAACTTTTTTCAATTTCAAATGATTTTATTTTATTTAGCTTGGGATTCTATGCATCACTTTTGAATTTCTCTAGATGCTAGTAACTAGCCCAAAAAATGCCATGCTGCAGCCTAATAGATCCTACTGTTGCATTGTCAGAAAGTTTTTATCTTCTTCATTTTTCTTAGTATTTAGAGCATCCTTAGTAGAAAGATAAAATAGTTTTACTAGATCAGCCGGGAATTTTTCATTCTGCAAATTCTAGTTTTTTGGTTCTGTTCTTCTTAAGAATTCATTTTTTTTTTCTTTTCTTTTTTTTTTTTTTTACAGTTTTTTTTACTTTTCTTTCAGCATTGTCAATCCTTTAGTCAGGATTCTTTCTCTTTTCCAGATAACCAATTCTGCTTCGACTGTTCTTCAAATCGATGTCTTCACTTCTTTTTTTTTTGCCTTCTGGTGATGGGAAACAAATGCTCTCAAAATATCTCTTTTTGATGGAAGTCAATAGGTTTGCTAAGGAGCCATACTTCAACAGAAAATTTGGTGATTTTCTGTTAAAGTTAAGTTAGTTCTGTAAAGTTCTAGTAAAAAAAAAAAAAAAAGTAAAAATCCAAACAGTATAACCAATGTATAGTGTATAAACTAAATGTATAAACAATGTAAAGTTTATAAACTAATTAAATAGTTACAAACAGTATAAACTATGTACAGTGTATACTATAGTGCAAGTGCACTATAGTTTATTTATTGTCATTAGCGCATACTTGTGCATACTGTACAGACAGAAGATTGTAGATTGTAGAAAACAGAAAGATGACTGCCAGCAATAGTAATTAATTAAATAAAAATTTTCAGTGAATACATACCATAAATAAAATAAAATAATTAAAAACATAAAAAAAAATTAAATAAAAATATATAAGAATATTCAATTCATAGCAGCCCTTAAATGTGCTTCAAATAGTAAAATTTGTGCTTATTCAGAATAGTAATTGACCAAGGAACACAACCTTGAGGAAAAAGGTTTTGATCACATTTATTATTTTTGTATGATATTACAAAAATCACCCTAATATATATATATATATATATATATATATATATATATATATATATATATATATATATATATATATATATATATATATATATATATTTAAAAAAAAAAGTTATACTTTCGCAAAAGTATAACTTTTTTCTCAAATGTATAATTGAATTGCTGAATGTTAAAAGGGCGGGAGTCTAACTTTGTAAACTTTCCAGAAACTAAAAAAACTGCATTTTCCCCCAAAGTAACTCTTTTTTTTAAAGAGAATGTTTTTCACCTTCAAAAAAAATTATTGAACCATTAACAAAAATTTACTTCAGGGGAAAATCCAGCTTATTTTAGTTTCCCAAAAGTTTACATTATTGGAAAAAAAAAAAATTAATTGCGTAATAAACTGCAATGCTTTTTAAAAGGCACGGTTGTTGCAGGAAAAAAAAAAAAAAATTAATAAAGAGTGGTAATTTAAATGCAAATGTTTTTGAAGAATGCCCCAAATATTTCCCAAGTAATTTGGCTTTTAGCCCAAGCTAAATCTCAATATTTTGTAAATTTTTTTTACTTATGTGCTCATAATGGTCAAATTTTTTTTTTAGATGGTTGTGTATTCTGGTTTTTTTATAACTGTTGTTCAAAAGACTTCACAGAAGTTATGCAAAAAAAAATTAAAATATTTTTTAGCGTAATTGTGCAAAATTATTTAATGTGTATTTTTTTCAAAATCTTATTTTAATTTAAACAACAATTATATATATATATATATATATATATATATATATATATATATATATATATATATATATATATATATATATATATATATATATATATATATATATATATATATATATAAACTAAAAATTTTTATTTAAAATGAGATTCAAAATTTTAGCAACTTTTATTGAATACCAAGTAATAGTGTGCAATTTTATTGTAATGTATATGTATGATAACTTTGAATTGTATATTTATGCTAACTTTGAGTAAGTCTTAAATGTTGTTATTAAATTTTGTGAGGTGATCACATTAGAGAAAAAAAATATATTGATATTTACCTTGTGCTCAAATCCAAATAATTTGAGAACAATATGGGGCATTTTTCAGGGTATTTTGCCACTTGAGTACAAGGCAAATGACAACAATTTTGGATTTTTTTTTTGTAATTGTAATTTTCTTTTTTTGTAATTGTAATTTTCTTATTGTAAAATAATGCAGGCATTAAAATAATTATTACAACAATCAAAAATTCCAATATAAAAGCAAACAATATATTAAAGTAATTATTATATATAAAATATATAATTCATTACATAAAATAAAAATTATTATGCAATAATTTGAAACTATTATGCAATAATATAATTATTATGCAATAAAAAAAGTGTAATAATTTTATTTTATTTTAGTTAGTCCAATATAACCAAAAACATTTGCATTTAAATTGGCACTCTTTGTTAATTTTTTTTTCTTCAACTACCGTGCCTTTTAAAAAGCATTGCAGTTTATTAGTTTATGCGACTAATTTTTTCTCTTTTTATAAAAATGACTTTGTGTTTTTCACTTTAGTTACAATGATAATTGAATCGGTAAATGTTAAAAGGGCCAATAATGTAAACTTTGGGGAAACTAAAAAAAACTGCATTTTCCCCCGAAGTAAATTTTTGTTAATGGATAATTGTTTTTTAAAGGTGAAAAACAATATCCTCTTTAAAAAAAATATGAGCGCAAGGTAAATATCAATATTTTAGGCTGTTTTTTTTTTTTTTTACAATTGTATTTTTTTTAATATTTGCACCAAAGTTGGCTTCTTGTACATATATATATATATATATATGTATATATATATATATATATATGTATATATATATATATGTATATATATATATATATATATATATATATATATATATATATATATATATATATATATATATATATATATATATATATATATATATATATATATATATATATATATATATATTAGGGTAATAACTATTTTCATTTTTTTTTGTAATGAAACTGAAACCTATCACATTCAAGGAACAATTATATGCAGATGACAGTAGCAACGTTAATTTTTTTTTAAATTGAAAAAAGTTCCCCCACCTTTCTCGCAACCATTGCTAAACAAGGCCACGATGTGCCGGTTCCAAGTCAGGCAGGTGTCTGGAAAAGAGTAATCTCTGAAGGACATAAAATGAAAACCAAAATTGCTCAAAAACTAAAGGGCAAAGATCCATATTGTCTCCAGTTTGATGGTAAAAGAGTGAATGGGGAAGAATACCAAGTAGTTCTGCTGAAAAATATGACTACCGAAATCAAACTCGGTATTCTTAAATGTGAGAGTGGTTCTGCTGCGGCCATTCACAAGGAACTACATCAGTTAATTGATGAATACAATGCTTGGGAAAATATTTGCATGATAATCTGTGATACGACTGCAGTAAATACTGGTCGTCTGCATGGGATTGTAAAGCTAATACAAGATGATGTTTTGAGCAAGGGGTTTCTGAAACCACAATATATTGGCTGTCAGCACCATGTTCTCGACCTCCTTCTGAAACATGTCATAATTTTTTTTATTCAAGAGCCAACGAGCAAACCAGAACTCAATTATTCTTTCATTGAT